TAGATTTGTGTGTCATCCGCATACGTGTGGAAGTTTCCCCATGTCTGTGAATGACATCGCCCGGGGGGAGCATATAACTAAGGAAAAGAAGAGGGTTGAGGATGGAGCCCTGGTGTACTCCACAGAACGGGAAGATGTTAAGATGTTATTCAAGATGACCAACGCAGACAGAGAGGATCTTGGTTTACTGTCTCACCTTACAGTGGAGTCCTGTAGCTCAGTGGTTAGAGCACTCGCCTCGCAAGTGAGAGACCTGGGTTCAATTCCCGGCAGGGCGAAACCTTGGGCAAGTTTCCTTACCCCACACGCCTGATAATAATCCCTCAAGAAAAAAACCCAATAATAAATTGATCACTTCAATCCACGACTGTTTGTGGACACTGCTGTGCGCAATTGGCTGCTGTGTTTCGCCCACAAATGTACAGTCAATTCACTTTCCAGTATATTCTGTGAATTGCTTTGAGATGTCTAGAAGATGTGATAAGGCGCTATATCAAATGCGAGGATTATTATTATTATTTATTATATCCTAAGGACAAACATTATACTATTATACTTGCTTTAGATATAGCGATCCACTATACCACTAGACAACTTGAAGTACAGTGCAGCTATGGATTAAAATGGATTCTTACTCTTCTGTATCAGTGATTCATGTTAATTTAGTATTGCCTTATGGTTTGCAGGGCTGCTCTTCCGCCTGTTCTGCAGCATCCATCCCATGAGTTCAGAATGTGTATGGTCAAAGTAGCTGCGGCTTCACCCTGTGCAGCAGAATCAATACATTATTTTGAAGAAAACCATGTCAAAATGGGTCCTTTCTCAGATTTCCTTCCTTTAACAGATGGGAATCTTAAAATCAAATCATTCTAAAATACCTTTAAGCACAAGATTGCTTCTATGCAAGACTTAACTTCTTAGAGCTCTGTTTTCTCCCAAATTGGTTAATTGTCTCATATAATTTGAAAGCGAAATTCATCTTAAGGGTAATAAAATGATGACTGGATAAAAACTTGCTATTAGGTTGAGAATAACAGATGTACAGAATCTATTGCACAATAAGTAACAATGCAATGAGCCACAGAATAGAGTAGTAAAAAGTCTTTACTTCTGCAATTCATCAAGTGGAAAATCCCTGATTTCAGATGTTCTTTTGGAAGGTGATTATTGGAGGTAATTATAATTTGATTTGATGTAGCGACTTATCACGTCATTGAGATGTCTCAAAGTGCTTCACAAAATGTACTGTAAAGTGGATTGACTGTACATTTTGTGGGTGAATGGAGGAAATGTAGAAGGAGCAGTCACACTGCTGATCTATGAAACATCTAATGGTCAGCTGAAATACAGATAATGTGGAAAATATCAATGTTACACAAGTGTACCACAAATACTTCTGTAATCTAATGCCCTAAGGAAAAACGTTTCGGTAATTTAGATAATGGGGCAAGATTGAATACGGAGTTAGTCATATCTGACCTTTCCAAGTGCAAGGTGTGAAAAATATTGCAAAGTTTTACCTAAAATAAAATGTTTTTTTNCTAGTCTTGCTACAGATATTAGTACAATTAGCTGAAACCTGTTATATTTTTCCAATACAATTACTTTTTCCTTCATCTCATCTTTGCTGATTTTCCTCTTGTTGTCTCTACAGGCCTCTTCCCCCCACCTGCTATATTCTGACATTTTATCAGTACTTTCCCGCTGCCCAGTCTCCAGCTCGCTGGTTTCGGAGAAATACTAATGAGAAGTCAATATTTAAGTTTCGAGTTGTCCATTAGGTGGAATACCTTTTGTACTGACTGAAAGGACAATTAAGAAAACAAGGAGTGACAATGAAGACGAAAGAAAAAGCAATGTCTGGGTGTAATATTCAGTGTAACATAAAAGTCTACTCCAGTCTTAAAAGTACTATTGCTGTCTGATCCTTCACTGCAACACGTATGCTATGACTGAGGATCCCAAGGCCTGTGTTTGTGTGCCTACTATGTGATATTTGATCTTGGATGTGCTGTCACAAGGAGGCACTGTTTATGAGCTAAGTATAGAGTATTTAGCTGTCAGTGTCTATTTTTCGTCTGCTTACATTATGAGTCAAACACATTATATTCAAAATTAAAAAGTTACCTCACCCCACAAATCACATGATTTTATTTTCAGGTCAGCCACTGAATATCTGACACATCAGGCACACTCTGGGGTCCCTAAGCCTTGTACCTAATACTTTCCGGAATTAGGTAAGGAGAATCCATCCCTCCAGGGAGAGAGTGCTCATTCCATTCCAACAATCTCTTAAGCATGGTGATGTATTTCCGCACGTGTTAGACACCCGGCTGACCAAAAAAACAAATGAGGAAATCGAACACCATGCTTAAAAGTATTTAAACCAGACTGAGAATTCCACATATGCATGCCACCTACATATGAATATTTCCCATGTCTAGAAATTAAATGTGCACTCTCTTGCTGGAAGAACAAAACCTTGCTTTCCTAATTCCAGTCAGTGCTGGGTGGTGAGAGCCAAAGCTTGAGGACTCCAGGGTGTGCAATGAGGTAACTGCTAGCGTTAAACCAGCTGAAGCCACATAGCTTGACTTTGAGATGAGCACAGCACTGTAGCATGTGACAGAGCACAATACTGTAACGTGTGACAGAGCACAGTGCTGTAATGTGTGACAGAGCACAGTGCAGTAACATGTGACAGAGCAGTCGGTAACATGTGACAGAGCACAGTGCTGTAACGTGTGACAGAGCACAGTGCTGTAATGTGTGACAGAACACAGTGTTGTAACATGACAGGGCACAGTGCTGTAATGTGCGACAGAGCACAGTGCTGCAATGTGCGACAGAGCACAGTGCTGCAATGTGCGACAGAGCACAGTGCTGTAATGTGTGACAGAGCACAGGGCTGTAATGTGTGACAGAGCACAGGGCTGTAATGTGTGACAGAGCACAGTGCTGTAGTGTGTGATAGAGCACAGACATGTAATATGAAGTGGAGGACATTCTGTGTGATATATCCACAATTCAGATCAAAAGACGTGACATTTATCCTGAAGATGAAGATCAGTATATGGAACTCTGCACTGACCACGACTGACACACTGCATGAGCAAACAGTCAGGCCCAGCAAATGACTGAGTTCAACCACACACTACACGTCTACTATACTTCTTCCTCTCTGTACACATACACGGTCGTATCTGTATGCTCACACACAGTCACCTCTCTGTACATGAGTTGTCTCTCTCTGAACACACATAGTCTCTCTACACACATTGTACCTGTAGACGCATATGTCTCTCTATGTGTACGCACAGTCATCTCTGTGCACACACATCATCTCTGAACACACTCAATAGTCTCTCTATACACACACATCGTCTTTGTACACACCCAATAGTTTCTCTGTACACACACAGTCAACCTGTGAGCTGGCTCCAAGGTGACGTGCTTGGCAACAGAATATTGGAATCAAGTCAACCCTCTGTACCAGTTTGGACAGTGCTTAATAATGTGCGTAGTGTAGACAGGGAGCAGTGCCATGTAGGGTAGACAGTAATGTTTAGTGTAGATGGTGTAGGATTCTATAATTAATGTGTTAAATAATATCTCAATATATTTACATTTTTGAGATTTATAGTCAATCTGATAGAGATATGATGGGAGGTGATTGTGACTAGCTTCGCAGAAGATCCTTCCTCAAGGATGAGAAACAAAAGACTGTTCATAAACAACAAACTGTTTTCGTTCATAGAGAAATCTCATCCAGCCAACCCGCAACCCCCACTCCCTTCTCATCTCAGGTGGGCTGGATTCTCTATAAGACAGACTTTGTTGCAAAGAAAGAACCAGCATGAACTGGTCAGGTGTCACCCGGTGCCACCTGGTGAGGTGTGACACAGGCGCAGTAGCAGGGAGTCGGGCAGCCGCATGGCAGGAGAAGGTTCTGTTGGGTGAAGGAGAGAGAAGCTGCCGTTTTTTTTATACAGGAACAGAGGTCGATTCGAAGAAACAATCAGAAGAAAGAATTGGGAAGAAGAAATAAAGACTTTGGAACTTGGAGTCGCAAACTATATTCCAGCTTCTAAAGAGGGAAGAGCAAGACTACAATTTAAACAACAGTCAACATCAAAATAATACCTGGATATTTTTAGTGATTGAACTGGGAACCATACAATAATACTTGGATATCTTTTCATGGATATTAAATTGACATTGCTCCTCTATCTTTTCCCCAGCATTTGGTTTGATCAACTTAAATCGTTACGAACTATGAGGATATGTAAGCATTATTGTGATGTATTATTTTAATTACGTATAACCATTATCTGAAATAATAAACCTTGATTAATTCTACAACATTTTTATCGGTCCTTACTTCACTGCAGGTTCACAAATTCAATAAAACCCTTGCAACAGAGAGTGGTGCACAGTGTAGACAGGGAGCAGTGCTGTGTAGTGTAGACAGGAAGCAGTGCTGTGTAGTGTAGACAGGGAGCAGTGCTGTGTAGTGTAGACAGGAAGCAGTGCTGTGTAGTGTAGACAGGGAGCAGTGCTGTGTAGTGTAGACAGGGAGCAGTGCTGTGTAGTGTAGACAGGGAGCAGTGCTGTGTAGTGTAGACAGGGAGCAGTGCTGTGTAGTGTAGACAGGAAGCAGTGCTGTGTAGTGTAGACAGGGAGCTGTGCTGTGTGGTGTAGACAGGGTGCTGTGCTGTGTGGTGTAGACAGGGTGCTGTGCTGTGTGGTGTAGACAGGGTGCTGTGCTGTGTGGTGTAGACAGGGAGCAGTGCTGTGTGGTGTAGACAGGGTACCGTGCTGTGTGGTGTAGACAGGGAGCAGTGCTGTGTGGTGTAGACAGGGTGCTGTGCTGTGTGGTGTAGACAGGGTGCTGTGCTGTGTGGTGTAGACAGGGTGCTGTGCTGTGTGGTGTAGACAGGGTGCCGTGCTGTGTGGTGTAGACAGGGTGCCGTGCTGTGTGGTGTAGACAGGGTGCAGGGTGCTGTGCTGTGTGGTGTAGACAGGGTGCTGTGCTGTATGGTGTAGACAGGGTGCCGTGCTGTGTAGTGTAGACAGGGTGCCGTGCTGTGTGGTGTAGACAGGGTGCCGTGCTGTGTGGTGTAGACAGGGTGCTGTGCTGTGTGGTGTAGACAGGGTGCAGTGCTGTGTGGTGTAGTGCTGTGTGGTGTAGACAGGGTGCCGTGCTGTGTGGTGTAGACAGGGTGCTGTGCTGTGTGGTGTAGACAGGGTGCTGTGCTGTGTGGTGTAGACAGGGTGCTGTGCTGTGTGGTGTAGACAGGGTGCTGTGCTGTGTGGTGTAGACAGGGTGCTGTGCTGTGTGGTGTAGACAGGGAGCAGTGCCGGTGTCAGGTGGTACAGCTGGAGTGCTCACTCAGTTTCAGAAACTCTATGCTGATTCCTGGTTTCTCTTCCGCGTCCGGCTCAGTGGGAGCAAGGTGTCTGGAGAAAAAGAGGGAAAATCTGTCAACAGATTCAGGAGCTTGATAAACAGGAGCTGACAGCCTGTGTAACATCAGCCCATGTCTGTCTTCCCAGTCAGGAATGGTCGCTTATTTTAGTCCCTCAGACTGCCATTTACAGCACAGTCTGAGACACAGTAAAGTTCCCTCCACACTCTCTGTCCGACACTTCCAGCTCAGTGACAGCACGGGTTAAACACAGAGTAAACCTCTCTCTACACTGTCCATTCATCACTCCCAGTACCACACATAGAGATTATTCCCAAAGGATAGGGTGGCCCTAGCTAGATATGCAGCACAAAACCTGCCAGGTAGTGCTTCATGAACTTTAGCTGGTTAGACTCTACATGTTACCCCAACGCACACTGTAGGCTCTCCAAACCTTGCCTTGCCAGTCTACATCTAATCCTCTCCGGTATTAGGAAAGCAGGCTACTTCCCTCCAGGGAGAGAGCCCTGCTCGGGATTCAAACCTGGGTCCTATTGCTTACGAGGCTAGTGCTCTAACCAATACACTACGGGACTCCATAGGAGAGTGTTGGAGAACTGAGCACAGCAAGGACTGGTCTGACCCTTCCTCCCACCCTCCCCCTCAACCCACCTCTGGTATTCCACATCCTCGATGGTCTCAGGCAGTCGGACGTTGGATGTTTCGGGCAAGAGGAAGGCAATGGCTCCACACAAGACAATGGTGGTGCCAAAAATCACTGTCGGCAAATGCATCCAGAACTCATCTAACAGCTTGACCACAGGCGCCACCGAAGCTGCCAGTCGCCCGACAAAGGACGTGTATCCCAGCCCGCTCTGTCTGCGGAAAGAGAGAGTGATTCAGACACACAGAGAGAGAAAAACCTGTGGCACACACACACAGACCTCAGAGAGAGAGAGAGTGTGGCTCAGACAGCCAGAGAGAGAGAGGGAAAGTGTTTAAGACACCTAGAGAGAGGGAGAGTGGCTCAGCCACTCAGAAACCTGTGGTACACAGAGGGACACACGGCAAACAGAGAGACACCAAGCCACACTCAGGCACAGAGCATGGCACACACAAGGAGATACAGACTACAGCACACACAAACAGACCACAGCACACACATAGAGAAACAGCACACAGAGGAACCCATGGCACACTCACAGTGTAGTCAGACAGAAGTCCAGGAGATTACAAGGCCCCTCGCGCCTGAGTCCTACCTGACCACAGTGGGGTACATCTCTGCTGTGTACAGGAATGCGGTGGTGAACGCAGCCTCAGAGAATCCTTTGGCAAGAATAACAATGGCAGAACGGGCAATACTTAGGTCTGCAAGAGAGAGAGAGAGAGAGAGATGCGTTCTGTGCAGTGACTGACCTGGGAATGCTGGACGGACAGCATAGAGGGAGCTTTACTCTGTGTCTAAACCGTGATGTTGCTGACCTGGGAGTGCTAGATACATAGGGCAAGAGGGAGCTTTACTCTGTATCTAACTCATGCTGTCGCTGACCTGGGAGCCTGGGAATGCTGGACAGACAGTGTGGAGGGAGATTTACTCCATCTCTGACTGTGCTGTAAGTGTTGTGGTTAATTTGGTGGTGTTGTTGGAGTACTGCGGACTTGCCTGACTCAGGAACCAGACTAGAGTCATTCACAGAAGGTTGACTTGATTCTGACATTCTATTTTGAAACATCCTGGGTAAGTGAGGAGGAATGGTCAATAGTGTTGAAGTAGTGGAGAGGTCGGGAAGGATAAGGAGGCAGAGGGAGCCCTGGATACAGAGAGAGAGAGGGCATCATTGGTGACTTTGGTAAAGGCTGTCTCAATGCTGTGAGCAGGCTGAAAATGACTGGAGGGGCTTGAGCAGGGAGTTGAGGGAAAGAGAGGAGCAGAGTTGGGTGGCAGGAGTGTGCTACAGGTCTGTGGACAGGACAGACATGGTGCAGATAGACCAGGAATTGTGGAGTTTGAAGAGATCGAGGGTCATTGTAGAGGGTGCTTTACTATCTAATCCTTGCTATAGCTGGGCTGGGAATGCTGGGCTGAGGTTGTTACCTGTGGGGATGATAATGCTGATTAACAAGAGGAGGCCAGTCAGGATCATGAAGCCGGCCTGGCACCATCTGCGTCCCACCCGATCCAGCAGCAGATAGGAGAGCAGCTTGGCCGGCACCTCGATGGCCCCATAGACCAGCTGAGTCAGGTACATGTTCAGCCCGAACCCCGTGATGGTCAAACTGATGCCGTAATAGGCAAAGGGCGTGCCGAACCTGCTGACCCCAAGAGAGAAATGTCATCGGCGCAGCTTTTTTTCCCCTTGTTTGGTCTGACACATGCAGCAACCCATCACCGTGCTTAAAGGTATCCAAGCCAAGCTGAGATTTCCATGCATCCACCTACACATGGAAATCCCAGAGTTAGATTGTTGGAATGGAATGCGCGCTCTCTCCCCGGAGAGATGCATCCTACTTATCTAATTCCAGAAAGTATTAGGCGCAGGTCGGCAAGTGCCGGAATTTACCAGACTATTCCGGAACAGACAGTCAGTCTCCTCATCCGTGGGGTCTTGACCAGGTGCCAGTAGGAATATTGTTTGCAGGACTCATCTGTGGTGATGATCTTATCCAGTACCTGAGGAGAAATGTCAGTGTCAGGCAATCTGTCTACAACAACAACAACAACAAGATTCCATTTATAAAGCGCCTTTCACGTCAGGAGGACGTCCCAAGGCGCTGCACAGTTGGGTCATGACCCGAGCAGGGGGGAAATGGTCAGGGTGAGGGGAGGGAAGGGAGGGAGCGAGGAAGGGGGAAATGGTCAGGGTGAGGGGAGGGAAAGGAGGGAGCAAGGAGGGGGGAAATGGTCAGGGTGAGGGGAGGGAAGGGAGGGAGCGAGGAGGGGGAAGAGAGTCGAGAGGGGAGCTGAAGGCACGGTCAAAGAGAAAGGTTTTGAGACCGGCCTTGAAGGAGGAAAGGGAGGAGGCGGCGAAGGCACTGGGGGATGGAGTTCCAGAGCCTCGGGGCTGAGAGGCTGAAGGCCCGACCACCGATGGTAGGGCGGTTGGGGCGGGGGACGTGGAGCAGACCGGAGCCAGAGGAACGGAGGGTACGGGCAGGTAGGTAGGGGGATAGTAGGTTGGAGAGGTAGGAGGGAGCAAGGCCGTGAATGGCCTTGTAGGTGAGGATGAGGATCTTGATTTCGATCCTCTGGGGATTGGGAGCCAGTGGAGGCGAGCGAGGGTGGGAGTGATGTGGTCCCGAAGCCTGGTGCGGGACAGTACACGAGCTGCAGAGTTCTGAATGACCTGCAGCTTGTGGAGGGAGGTGGCGGGAAGGCCGGCGAGGAGAGAGTTCCCGTAGTCCAGCCTTGAGGTGACTAATGCGTGAACCAGGGTTTCAGCAGCGTGAGGGGTGAGGTAATGCCGTAGTCTGGCGATTCTGTCTACACAAGAAACTTAGGATCCCTGTGTGACCAAGCTCAGATCTCTCAGGTGTTGGCTATCACAGGATGTGCTGCTGTTTCACACTGTTAGAATTTACACTTTTTGTATAATGTTAGAATCATAATAGATGTTGCGAACGGGTTAACTTTTAAGTTAAGTGTGTTGTGGGCAGCTGGACTGAAACTCCCTGCACGTACATGAGATAACGGACTGTCTCAAGGACAGTGTGTTTGTGTGTGTGAGGCACGTACACCCCATGAGGTGTTCACGTACACCCAGCATGATTTCGACCGGGTGATCTAATGTCCGCACCATGGTTGGATGAATATTGGTATAAGAGTTCCGATAACTTTGTGTACGGGGCCGTCCCGGGTCGCGGAGACAAGGATACGGGAGATGGAGCCATCCCGGGTCGCGGAGACTAGGATACGGGAGATGGAGCCATCCCGGGTCGTGGAGACAAGGATACAGAGATGGAAGACTGAGAGCTGGAAACACTAAGACTGAGGATATCAGATGGAAGATTGAAAGCTGTAAGCAAGAAGACTGAAAGCATGAAGAATCAAGCTTGTGTGCTGGAAAGACACAGTGTTGAACTCTTGAACTCGAGATATCTATAGTGGTGTTATTCTGTTATAAGATCTGTTGATTGTACCGGCCTTTGGTCTGACCCATCGGGATATTGGGGAATAACGAACGAATTATAATAAAACAGTCTGATATCTGGTTAGAGGAATTAGCGTTATTTCCTTGCAGATTTGGCTGATTTTATTTTCTAACAACACTCTAGTCTGTGGGGATCACAAAACAGAGATTGATTGGAATTTTGAAAAGTCTCCGGAACGATCACGACAAATCATTGCAGTAATTTTCCACTTTTTAATTATATAACGATTGCACCAGTGTGTAACAGAGAGTGTACAGAGGGCACTATTGTTGATGTGCTGATCTGTCGGTGTGCTGACATGTTGATGTGTTGATATGTTGGTGTGTTGTTGTGCTGGTGTGTTGGTGCATTGGTGTGTTGGTATGCTGCTGTGTTGATGTGCTGGTGTGCTGGTGTGTTGGTGAGCTGCTGTGTTGGTGTGCTGCTGTGTTGGTGTGCTGTGTGCTGGTGTGCTGCTGTGTTGGTGTGCTGCTCTGTTGGTGTGCTAGTGTGCTACTGTGTTGGTGTGCTGCTGTGTTGGTGTGCTGGTACGTTGGTGTGCTGGTGTACTGGTGTGTTGGTGTGCTGCTGTGTTGGTGCACTGGGAGTCTTACTCGGTCCTTCTCGTGCTGAGCCCTGGGGGCAGGGTGATGGATTGCTTCTAACACCTGTCAGAATAGAATAAAGAAGGACATCAGAACAGCAATTGGGTGGTGCCCACCCTGGGGTGAGCTGGCCTGAGGGCTGGTGGGGATGAGATACATAATCAAAGGAGTCGTGGTGTAGGGCAGCTTCTGCTCTGCTGGATGGTCAGGAAACACAGAATTTATCTGTTAATCAGCAAGGCTTCACATTCCACCTAGACTCAGCTTGTGATACCTACAGTACTTCTCTGACATTTAAAATTGGGCAGAAGATTTAATTTATTCAATTTAATCTGATTTCCACAGATTCTTAAAGAGAAACCAGCTTCTGACAAACAATTAAATTGAGGAATATTCTGTGGGCATCTGAAATGGGAAAATAGAAGGGAGTTTCTCTCCTGACCAACAATCCCACCGATTTAATTGGTCGTTCACTCCATGGCTGTTTGTGGGACATTGCTGTGTGCAAACTAGCTGCTGTGTAATAAATATAATCACTACATTTTACAGTAAATCCTGTGAAGTGCTTTGATTCCCGAATTCAAGATCCTTGTCCTCACCTTTAAGGCCATCCATGGCCTTGCCCCCTCCTACCTCACTGACCTGCTGACTCCTTACCAACCTGCCCGTTCCCTCCGTTCAGCGGGCTCCTGCCTGCTCCATGTCTGCCGCCGACCTGCCCTACCATCGGTGGCCGGGTTTTCAGCCTCTCTGATCCCACACTCTAGAACGCCATCCCACGGACCCTTCGCCTCACTTCCTCCCTTGCCTGTTTCAATTGGGTTGGGATCGGGGAGGGTGGAGGGCGGGGGTGGGGGGGGATGAAGGGGGAGCAAAGGCACGGTTGAAAACGAGGGTCTTGAGACGGGTCTTGAAATAGGCAAGGGAGGGGGTGAGGTCTACAGTTTTGGAGTGTAGTGGCTGAAAGTGTGACCTCCAATGGTGGAGCAGAAGGTGCAAGGGACAAGTAGGAGGCTGGTGCCAATCGAGGGGGGCGCTGGGTGGTGGATTGGAAAATGAATTGGTCGGAGAGTAGGGAGGTGCCAGGGAGTGAATGGGTTTGAACACAAGTGTGAGAAACTTGAAGTTGATCCGTTCGGTCTTGAGGAGCCAGTGGAGCCTGGCCAGAACTCGTGAGATTTGGGTACGGAGTTTGGTCCAGGTACTTATTGTGGGCAGCAGAGGTCTGAATGAGCTGGATTTTTTGAACAGTGGAACTGGGGAGAGCGGCGAGGAGTGCATTGGAGTAATCCAAGCGGGAGGTGACAAACGCAAGCACGAGGGTTTTAGCTGCATTTGGGGTAAGGTACGGTCAGAAGCGGGCATTGGGGCGGAGCTGGAGGAAGGCGGTCCTGGTCAGGGACTGGATGTGGGGGAGGAAGGACAGCTGGGGTTTGAACTGGAAACTTAGATTGTGCATGGGGGTCAGTGAATCTGAGAAAGAGCCCAAAGAGGTTGAGTTTAGATCTGCAGGAGTGAAGACGTTGACAGGATCCAAAGAGTATGGTGTCCTTCTTGTCCACATTCAACTGCAGGAAGTTTAAACTCATCCTGATGTCTGCCAGACAAGCTGATAAAACATTGGTGGGTCTGGGGTTGGTAGTGGAGGAGGCAAAGTAGATTTGTCTGTCATCCGCAAACATATGGAAGTTTACCCTATGTCTGCAAATGACATTACCAAGAGGGAGCATATAGATGAGGGAAAGAAGAGGGCCAAGATGGAGCCCTGGGGTAACGCAAAGGTGATTAGGCGGGGGCAGGAGAAGAAACCATTTGCTGAGAAGAAGTGGAGGCAGTTGGTTAAGTAGGGTTTGAACCATGTGAGTGCAGTCCCACAAAAGTGAATGAGGGAGGAGAGGCGGTGGAGCAGGATGGCGTGGTTGACTGTGTCGAACGCGGCAGAGAGATCCAGGAGGACGAGGAGACAGAGGGAGCCCTGGTCACAGGTAGAGCGGACGTTGTTTGTGACTTTGACAAGTGCTGTCTCTGTGCTGTGGGCAGAGCGAAAACCAAATTGCAGGGCTCAAGGGAGTGGAGGGAGAGGTGTGAGCGAAGTTGACTTGCAACAATGCGTTCTAGGACTTTAGCAAAGAGGGAGAGCAAGGAAAGCAAGGGAATGGGACAGTAGTGTGAGAGATTAGAGGGATCAAGGTTGTTTTTTTTGAGGAGGGATGTGATGACAGCGGTTTTCAGGGGGAGTGGAACAGAGTCTGACGAGAGAGACTGGTTGATCTTGAAAGCCAGAGGGAGGAGAGGAGGCGGAGTTGAGTGACCAAGTGTAGGTTTATTTTTTAAATTGAAGAGTCCACAGACTAAGATGACGTGGAATTTTGTGCCTCAAGAGCTATGGAGTGTTGCAAGCATATGCGCAGCCAACTTTCTCACCTCACAGCTTATCTTCGGGGCAAAGTCCTTTCTCCTGTTCATTCTGGCACATCTAGTGAGGTACGTCTGAGCCAGTCTTGTCTTCCCATTCGCCAGCAGCCAACGTGCGGATTCTGGAATCCACCTGTGCAGGTGTCAGCCTGTGAGCAGTTATGGGAGCAAGGTTCAGACCCGCCCAGCACCCACCCAGCCCAGCGCAACCCCCATCCAGCCCAGCCCCCTACCCAGCCCAGCCCCTGCCTAGCCCCCGCCCAGCCCAGCCCTCAGCCCACCCCCCAACTAACCCAGCACCCCTCCTTACGCAGACGAGCCCGTACCCAGCCCAGCCCCCGCTTAACCCAGCACAGAACACAAGCCGTCTAACCAGCAGAGGGCGCTGAAGAGGATGCACGGAGCTGAGATGGAGAAGAGGAGCCAACGCCAGTCGCGGATGGAGAAGGCGATGAGTGCCAGCAGTATGTTGCCAGTGCTCCAGGCCAGGCTGCTGATAATCCCCGCAAATGTCCGATGCTGCAGGTCAATCCACTCCACACCTGACAGCAGGCAGCAGAGCCAGTCAGCCCGGCATCTCCCCCCGCCAGCCCAGCCCACTCACACGCACACAAAGCCTGCAAACGTACCTCACACCCCCACCCACCCACCCTGCACCACACCCCCACCCCGCACACACCCGCACCCCCACCCCGCACACACCCACACCCCGCACACACCCACACTCCCACCCCACACACACCCCCACCCCGCATGCACACACACTCTTACTCTGGATATACAACAATAAATTATATTTGTTTGGCGCCTTTTACATCAGGAGGATGACCCAAGACGCTGGACAGTCAGGGATCTGTACCCGAGCCAGGTTGGGATTGGGAGGGTGGAGGGCAGGGTGGGTAGGAGGGTGACCGAAGGCACGGTTGAAGAGGAGGGTCTTGAGGCCAATCTTCAAAGCAGAAAGGAAGGGGGCGAGGCAGAGGGACTGTGGGATGGAGTTCCAGAGGCTGAAGGACGGCCCGCCAATGGCAGAGTGGGCAGACGGGGGACGTGAAGCAGGCTGGAGCCTGCTGAGCGGCGGAAGCGGGCAGGTTGGTAGGGTTTAGGAGGTCACAGAGGTAGGGAGGTGTAAGGACGTGGAGGGCTTTGACAGTGAGGACCAGGACCTTAAGCTTACCCCCCTCACCCGCGCACTCCCCCTCCCCCATTCAACGAGCATGCTCTTACACAGGGTGAAGGAGCCGATGGATATCTCACACACACACACACACACATTGAACCACCCTTACACAGGGTGATGGAGATGATGGCGATGCCAGTTAAGGCCACTCCGCAGAGACTCCTCATCACTGCAAACATGAGGAAGGAGGTGGAGAACGCGGTGACCATGCCGAGCACTGATGACGACACCAGAGACACCACCAGCATCGGCAGCCGGCCAAACCTGCCACAGACACATACAGTCCAGCAATCACTGGGGAGACAGGCAGAGACACGCACAGAGAGACAGAGAGCTACACACAGAAAAGCAGACACCATCCAGCATTCACTGGGGAGACAACCAAAGGGAGATTGAGGGAGAGAGATGGAGAGATGGAGACTGCAATTCACCGAGAGAGAAACAGCAGAAAACAAGCACTGTCAGGTAGAAACACCAAAAGAAAGAGAGACTTACATACATAATCACACATAAACACACACAAGGACAGGGAGAGAAAGAGAAAGGGAGAAAGAGACAGAGACAGAGACAGGGAAAGAGAAACAGTGAGAGGGTAAACCATGGTTATAGGGTGATTATGGGGTAGGTACGAGCTAGTTATGGGGTGGTTATAATAATAAGGATCTTTGCATTGGACACAGAGCCTTAACAATTCGTTGAGACGTCTCAATGCGCTTCCCGAACATACTATAAAGTGGATTGACTATATTTTGTGGGTGAAACGTGGCCAAATGATTTTTTTGAACCCCTGGAAATGTGATCCGCCAATCGACTAACAATCAGCTTCCTACTTACTGCTAAGTAAACAGACGTGTGGAGCAAGGAAAGTTGCCCAAGATTTCACTCTGCCCAGAAATCAAACCCAGGTCCTTTCGCTTGCGAGTCGAGTACTCTAACCACTAAGCTACAGGACTCCTCCAATCTACCCCCAATATTACTCCCTATCCCCAAGGGATCCGCCAATCAACTAACAACTGAGTTCCTATTTACTGCTAGGTACAGGGGTGTGGAGTAAGGAAACTTGCCTAAGGTTTCGCCCTGCCTGGGAAATCGGTTTATGGAGTGGTTACAGGGTGGTTTATGGAGTGGTTTATGGGGTTACTTGTCTGATAAGTAGCCAAAGATGATGGATCCGAACATGACTCCAACGTAGAATAAAGCAGAGCTCGCCTGGTTCAGACTCCTCCACTCGCACACCAGATCCCACTGATACAGAGAGAGAGGTGTGAGTGACCCCAAACTGAAACCCCCCTCACACTGACCCCCACTCACACTGACTCACACTCACACTGACCCCCACTCACACTGACCCCCACTCACACTGACCCCCACTCACACTGGCCCCAGCCCCACTCACACTGACCCCCAGTCACTCCCTCACTGACTCCCCTCACACTGACCCCACAGACACAATTACATCTACACTGACACCCCCCGACACACAATGAGAGCCCAACAAAAACAAAATAACATTTACTTCCACAGCAAAAGGACATACCAAGGCGATGGGCAGTTAACGGTTTGCACCTAAGCAACTTTCCCATGCACACGCCTGTCAGGCTGAACAGGCAAATGGGGCCTCGGTTTAACATCTCATCCAAAAGATGGCAGCTCTGACAATGCAGCAAGCGCCGCCCTAGTGCTGCACTGGAGCGCCAACCAAGATTGAGTTTCACTAAGTCCCAAATGTGACACCTGAACCTTCTGGCTCGGAGGTGAGAGGGTGAGCAACTGAGTCAGGCTGGCGCTCCCTATCTATGATTGTGTTCAAACGTTACTAACCTCAGTCACTATGGTGGACGTGAATTGACTGTAGTCATACTCCCAGCCTCTGGGGCAGGGGACGTCTGCAGAACTGTTAGCCTGGAAGGTGCTGTTGCTGAGGAGGTGGAGTTGGGGTTGAATATAGATGCGGCAGGAGCTGCGAGCCCCCTCGCTGTCCTGTGGGATGTGCTGCAATAGCCTGTCTCTCTGGCTCAGATTCTGATGCCCGGGATCCGGTAGCTGGCAGTGGTGGGCAGGTACCGCAGCCAGGAAGTTGTGGAGCAGAAAGTGCATGGGGAGGATCAGGCGGGGGAAACACAGAAGCAACAACATCAGCAGCTGGAAGCGTCCGAAGCCCCCCACTTCCTCGAACAGATCCTCAAACCGCATGTTGCTCCCACACTGCTACCATGGACTCTGGTAGCAGAAAGTGGGAGCAGAAAGTCTGGGAGAGTCTGGGAGCAGAGAGTCTGGGAGTAGAGAGTCTGGGAGAGGAGAGTCTGGGCGCAGAGAGTCTGGGAGCAGAGAGTCTGGGAGAGGAGAGTCTGGGAGAGGACAGTCTGGGAGAGGAGAGTCCGGGAGCGGAGAGACCAGGAAAAGAGAGTTTGGGAGCAGAGAGCCTAGGAGTGTGGAGTGAGAGAGGAGAGACCGGGCGTGGAGACCACTCTACAGTGAAGTTTTCCGAAGCAGATGGAGTCTGGGCAAATAATCCAGGAGCAACGTCTGTGAATAAAGGATCTAAGAGCCGAGAATCATGCAGCAGAGAGTCTGGAAGCAAAGACCAGGAACAGAGAATGGAGAAGTGCAGGGTTTTTGTTTGCAACGCTGAAGTCAGCTGGAGTCATATGAGTGAGCTTTAACTTAAAACAAGTAGCTCATTCTGTGAAGGAGTTTTCCATTAACTCCACAAATCTCTGGTCATCCTTAATCTCAATTATTTTTACAGCACATTAGAGATTGGGCGTGTCTGCATTGACTCTCTCTGGTACACACAGCACACTGCACACACAACACTGTACACACGCACACAGCACAGTGCACACAACTTGCATTTATATAGTGCCTCACACGCAGTGCAGGGGCCCAGAGAAGAGTTCAATTCTTGGGCTGAGCGAAAGCTTAGGCAAGTTTCCTCACTCCACGTGCCTGTTTACCATGACTTGTGGAGTCCTGTAGCTCAGTGGTTAGAGCACTCGCCTCACAAGCGAGAGACCTGGGTTTGATTCCCGACAGGGCGAAACCCTGGGCAAGTTTCCTTACTACACACGCCTGATAATAATCCCTCAGGAAAAAAACAATAATAATTTGGTCACTTCAACCTACGACTGTTTGTGGGACACTGCTGTGTGCAATTGGCTGCCACGAATGTACAGTCAATTCACTTTACAGTATATTCTGTGAAGCGCTTTTGAGACATCTAGAAGACGTATAAAGCGCTATATCAAATGCAAGGATTATTATTATTACCTAGCAATAAGTAGGATTCCTACTTACTAGTTGATTGGCAGATTGTTCTAAGTGGGTAATAATCCTTTCTAAAAAAGAATTTGGTCACTCAATTCACGACTACTTGTGGGATACCGCTGTCCATAGAATCATACAGCACAGAAAGAGGCCATTCAGCCCATCATGTCTTCGCCGGCTCCTAAAAGAGCAATCCAACTCAATCCCACTGGCCCTCTTTCTCTCCTGCAATCCCGTCCTCCCCAAATACCCATCTACTTCTCTCTTAAAAGTTGTTTCAGGTAATGCATTCCAGATCCAAATAACTTCCTGGGTGAAATAATTTTTCCTGATCTCCCCTCTGTTTCTTTTAACAACTGTCTTAAATCGGTGTCCTTGGGTTACTGACCCACATGCCAGTGGAAACAGCTTTACCTGGTTCAACCTATCAAATTCTTTCATGATCTTGAAAACCTCTATTAAATCCCCGCTAGGGAGAATAATCCTAGTTTCGCTAACCTCTCCTCATAACTAAGGTCCTTCATTTCTGTACCATCCTGGTACCAGGAATGAAGGACCCTTTGCACCCTCTACAATGCCCTAACATCTTTCCTAAAGTGCGGTGCCCAGAACTCAACGCAATACTCCAACTGAAGTCTAACCAGCATTTTATAAATATTCAACATAACCTCCTGACTTTTGAATTTTATGTCCCTATTTATAAAACCTAGTACCCCGTATGTTTTTTTAACAGCTTTATCTACCTGTTCTGCTACCTTCAGAGATTTGCTTATGTGGACCCCCAGGTCTCTCTGTTCATTTGCCCCCTTTAAAATTGCACCATCAGCTTATGCTGCCTCTCCTCATTCTTCCTACCAAAATGCAACATTTCACATTTCTCCACATTAAACCTCATCTGTCACATTTCTGCCCATTTTACCAATCTGTCTAAGTTCTCTTAGAGTCTGTGCTATCCTCTTCACCATTAACTACTTTTCCTAGCTTAGTATTGTTTGCAAATTTGGAAATTGTGCTCCCTATATCCAAGTCCAGATCATTAATATAAATCAGAAAGAGCAGTGGTCCCAATACCGACCCCTGAGGAACACCACCACACACCTCCCTCCAGTCAGAAAAGCAACCATTTACAACTACTCTCTGCTTTTTGTCTCCTCTCAACCACTCTCTGCAGTTCTGGATCCATATTGCGACAGTGCCTTTAATACCATGGGCTTCGATTTTGTTTATAAGTCTCTTATGTGGCACTTTGTCAAATGCCTTTTGAAAATCTAGATAAGCTATGTCTACTGCACTACCTTCATCCATCCTCTCAGTCATTTCATCAAAAAATTCTATTAGGTTTGTCAGACACCATCTGCCTTTAACAAATCCGTGTTGACTGTCTTTTATTAAAGCATATTTTTCTGAGTGAGAATTTATATTGTCCCGGATTATAATCTCCAGAAGCTTCCCTACTACTGATGTTAGGCTGATTGGTCTGCAGTTCTCAGGTTTATCCTTCTGCCCCTTTTTGTACAGGGGAGTAATATTTGCAACCTTCCAATCCTCTGGCACCACTCCAGTGTCCAAAGAGGATTGAAAAATTGTGGCCAGAGCTTCCCCTATTTCCACCTTTGCTTCCCTCAGTAACCTAGGATGCATCCCATCCGGACCAGGTGAGCACTGACAGCCTTTTTAGTATCTCCTCTCTCTTGATTTTTATCATATCCAATTTCTGTTCACACGCCTGCAATATTGTGGCATTGTCTTCTTTTGTGAAGACAGTTGCAAAGTAGTTATTTAGTACATCAGCCTCTGCCTCAGCAAGAAGATTTCCATTTGGGTCCCTAATTGGACCCACCCTACCTTTGACTAACCTTTTACTCTTGATATGCTTATAAAATACCTTAGGATTCCCTTTTACGTTTCCTGCTAATCTTCTCTCGTACAATCTCTTCGCCCCTCTTATTTCCCTTTTCACTTCTCCTCTGTACTTCCTATATTCTATTTGATTGTTCTCTGTCAGCTTCACGTCACGTGGTGTAGACTCCGCGCATGCTTTCTGGGGTGTACACTCTCTCTCCCTCTCTCACCATACACACACATGCATCCTGGCCAGGTGGCAAACCTACGCTACACACACAAAGTGCACAAGGAACATCACTGCACATACAGGCACATAATGCTATACACACATTGTGTTGTTTACACACACACACACACACACAGGGAGTTGCGGATTGTTTTCCAGGAGTTAGGAATAGTTTTCCAGGAGTTGAGGGTTGTTTCCGGGAGTTTGGGATAAAGTTTTGTGGTAAAACCTGGAAAATGTGGGGGAAATAATTCTTCTTTTATTACACCAGTAATTCCAGTAAAACCTTGGACTTTAACTTTCTCTTCTTTTTCCTCTATCACTAACCATAACTTTAGAGTGATGGATAATCCCTCGTTGGTTAACATTTGCAGCGATAATCAAGAATGATTACAAGCAGGAATGTTTGAATTCGAAAGCTGATGCTCTTGATTGTTGTTTGGGGTTGGGAACTGCACTCCATTATCAGGAGGCAAGAATATATTATTTGACCAGCTGGATGCCTAACGTTTGCTTAAGTCTATCCACACTTTGAGAGTTTCACTTTGTTATTCAATGGGATTTTAAAAAATCAACCCAGAACAATACTTTCAGATGCAACATGACAGTAGAACAAGAGGATACAGATTTAGAGTTGTGAAGGGCAATTTCAGAACAGTCACTGGGGCGTTTTTCTTTACTCAGGAAATAATCAATGACTGGAACAGTTTTGAACAGTAAAGGTGGCTGACGCCAGGACACTGGGACCTTTCCTGAATTCTCCATTGAATTTTACTTCCGAATCCAGAGGAAAAGTGAGACTCAGAAACATAAACTGAGGCTGACACTATTGCAATATCCAGTGCATCCACTGAAAAGATTTTAAAAATACTCAATACATGTTAGTTCCCCATCTCCTTCAGTTTGAGCAGGGACCGGGCTGTACTGGCAATATGGGAAATTTGTGAGTGACCCCGGACTTTACTGTGAAGTGCAACGATCATGTATTTGTGGGTGAAGGCAGCAGTCAATTTGTGCACAACAGTGTTCCACAAACTGAATTTTACCAATTATCTTTCCGTTTGGAGTCGTTCCCTTCTGTGCAGTCACTTGTACTGAGGACAGTTGGAGGCTGTTCAGCCTTTTGAGCCTGTTCACCATTAGATCATGAATGATCTGTACCTCAACTAATCCTTTCAATTCCAATTTCCCACTTTCTCCCCATTACTCCTTAATATCCTGACCTACCAAAAATCTATCAACCTCACTCATAAAGGTGTGGATGGATCCAGCATCTCCGGCCTTTTGGGGGAGAGAATTCCAGATTTCTACCACCCTTTGAGTGAAAAATATGTGGTATCTCATGGTATTCAGTGTGAAGGTGGCCCAATTCTGTCATCACATATACACCTTCTGCATAAGCAGGAAACTTAACTAAGCCGATGGCTGAGACAACAGCAACTTGCATTTATATAGCTCCCTTCACATAGCGTCTCAGAATTCTTAAAATTGGCGGAGCATGCTGCCGAGCCGGGGGGTGGGAGGAGGTGCCTGTAAGCACAGTCGAAGTGTCAGGGAGTCAAAGGATTTGTAGATGAGTGTGAGGATCTTGAAGTCGATCTATTTTGTGATAGATGGTGTTGTTGATCCTGTTGTGAAATGTTTTGCACCGCAAAAGTCTGGAACTCAGTAATGTTACATCACACACATTTCAAACAGATTAAAAAAAGACAGCGAGGGTATTCGAGAAGATGGATCCAGTCTCTGCATTTCACTGCAGGGGGGCGAAGGCTGACCCCTCCCAGATTCCTCCCAAACCTCATGGCTCACGTAGTGCCATCTCTGAGACTAGACAGGAGGACTGGGTCCCAGGTCTGCTTGGGGATCTGGTGCTAGAAGAGAGACATACAACTTGCCAGACATTCTTGCTCCCAATGTGTAAATTATGTGTAAATAATAATAATCCTTATATTTGATATAGCACTTTATCACGTTGTTGAGACATCTCAAAGCGCTTCAGAGAATATATTGTAAAATTAATTGACTGTATATTTTGTGGGCGAAACGCAGCAGTCAATTGCGCAGAGCAGTGTCCCACAAACAATCATGGATTGTGTTTGTTCTGGAGGGATTATGTCCGTAAAACAATGCACCAATCGACTAACAACCGGGTTACTACTTACTGCTAGGTAGAGGGTGTGAGTAAGGGAACTTGCCTCAAGTTTCGCCCTGCCCAAGAATTTAACCCGGTTCCTCTCATTTGAGAGGTGAGTGCACTAACCACTACACTACGGGAATTCACAATGTCGTGTACGTGGGTGGGCGTAAGAAGAGGGTTACTGAGTATACTCAATACAAACAGACAACAGACAACGAATTCTGTTCAGACAATCTATTAAATAGTGTGCGTGTGTATGTATATGTATGTGTCAGTGTTTTACAAAGAGGTCAGCGCTGGATTAAGACTTGATCCCAAGATCAAGGAGACAGAATGGCTGATGATTCCATCCTTGCTTGCAATAGTAAAAGGATGCATGCCGCTCGCCTCGGCACTACTGTCGCCATGCAGTTCTGCAGTTATAACGTTGTACGCTGCTGTACATTCTACTTGCGGTGTAAACATAGAATAGCTGCTTTGTAAAGTCTGAGAGATTCAGATACATTGGATTATAAGATGCCCACCCCATGTCCCAATGGAAGGAACTCCCCCCCCCTTCCCAGGCATCAGACCGTAGAAAGCTTAATGAGTGGGACACATCTCGAAGCTCCCAAGTGTACAAATCACCATCTGTGGCACAGTCATCAGTCAGAGCAGTTAGACCCTCCCCCTGTGCATGGTTGCCCTGGTGCCACTTCCTGACCTGGTGCCAGTCCTGCTCAGGTGCCATACAATAATGGGCGGAAGAGGGGGGGGGGCTGGGTTAGCCAGGCTAGTGGAGCGAACCCGATTACATCTGGATGACCCTGATTCTGGGCTGGGGTGAGGGTGAAGATGGATAGATGCTCACTCTACTGTAGCTAATGAGTGCTGTTTCCTGAGTGCGCATGGAGCAGGAGAGAGAGTAGGTGGTGGACAGGAGATAGTTGTTTGTTGCAATGGGGTTTGAGGTGTGTCTGACAGGTAGGCTCACACCTATCTGTGCAGTAATTTTCCTGATATTCCCTGGATCCCTCTATCCCTCTCACTGCGACAGCCCCCGAGTTTCCCCTCCGCCAGTGGTGCAATTTCATGCGTATAAACATACACTTACCCAGGAATGTCAGGGTGTGTCAGTGTCACACTCACCCATCATTGTGACTACACACTTCAGTTACACACTCACCAATATTGAGGGCAAGTGTGTCACAGATACTCTTTAACCAGCATTGTGAGAAAATATGTCACTGTTGCACATTAACAGCATTGTGAGCATTGGGAGTGAGACCAGATGGTTTACTCTGTAGCCACGTCAGTTACGCACTCATCTGGCATTGTGAGCGATGGTGTCACACTTACACACTCACCCAACATTGTGAGTGATAGTGTCAGTTACACACTCACCTGGAGTTGTGAGTAATCATGTCAGTTATTCATTCACTGTCATTGTGAGCAAGCATATTTAATGAGTTACATAGTAAACTGCCTGGTTGCACTCCCTGTGCCAGCAAACCTCTGAATAGATCAAATGCTCCAGTTGTTTTGATGGTTCAGGAGCCAACTAAAACAGAGACAAAGACCAGAGCCCACCCAGCACCATGGCAACTACTTCACTGGGAAGGTGGGCTTCAATTGTGCGGCTACAATTGGCTTATGGAGGTGGAAATCAGTCGCGTGAGCATAGAGCAGGTCTGGGTGGTCTCAGTGATTGGTGGTCTCAGTGACTATGGACTGTCAGTCTCTGCTCCTGCTCTGACCTGTTTCTCCCTGGCCTGACCTCTCTGCTCCTGCGCTGATCTGCCTACTCCTGGTGTAACCTCTCTACTCCAGCTCTGACTTGTCTACTCCTGGCCTGACCTCTCTGCTCCTGGTGTAACCTCAGTGCTCCTAGTCTGACCTCTCTGCTCCCACTCTGACCTCTAAACCTGGTGTAACCTCTCTACTCCTCCTCTGACCTCTCTGCTTCTGGTGTAACCTCTCTGCTCCTGTAACTGTAGAGGGTGTCAGAGCGAAGCTTGACGTCTCTCCACCCCCCTCCGCCAACACACACATAACCAAAACAGTATGCTGGAGAGGGACTAGGAGCAGGAACCCTGGCTAGTTTTCCCCTCCCTAACGCTGTAATGGCCAGGCCAATATAGCCTCCCATTGTAGTCCAGGCTGAGACTAGCACACTGCACCAATGAGGCTGACCCACGGCAAAACTGAGTTAGCAAAAATACCTTCACACACAGTGTAGTGGCAATGTGAAATTATCTGCCACAAACGAGTGGGTACAGAGTCGGTCAGTTCTTTTGGAAGGGAATGAGATAGATTTTAAAAGGGAATATGATAGAAGCTTGAAGAGGAGTATTACAGAGTGTACGTGTTGTATGTTAGGGGGAGGGCGAATGAGCAAGAGAGTGGTAGTGGGTTGGGTGGCTCGTGTGGAGACAGACACCAGCAAGGCTGGAAGGGCGGGTTTCTTTGCTGTAACTTGCTGTGAAAGTTGAACATAGCCGGGTGTCAGCACATGGTTTGCTGGGGCTATGATGGGGAGGTGGGTGCTGGTTGGAGCCGGTGTTACGGGTGCGGGGGAGGGGCACTGGTGCTGAGTGAGATGCTGGTTTCTACGCTGGCTGAACACGGAGACACTCTGCTTCCTGTTGGGTGTCCTGGGCCAGCTCATGCTGTGCACGAGACTGCAGCCACCGCTGGCCGGCAGCGAGGGGATTATGTGTGGCCTGATGGGGGCTGATCGTTCTTCCCCGGGCCAGGGGCGAGAGGCCTCCTCCTGGTCCCCGAGGTCCGGCAGGCGAGCTCTCCGGCCACAGAGTCCTGGGGAGCCGGGGCTGGGAGACTAGGCTGGCGGCCGGCACCTTGCTGGCTCGGGAGAAAGCCTGATCGGCGATGCCGGGACGGTGAGGGGCTGTCAGTCCGGGAGACGGGTTTGATCCTCGGAGATGCGCTCAGGCTGCGAGGAGCCGCCCGGGGGCTCAGGGTCCGGAGGCCACCCCGGGCCAGAGCGGGACTCCAGGGGGCTTGCTTATAGCTGGGAATACGGGCAGCCCCGGGACCATTACACAGCGGCAGCCTGGAGCGAGAGAGAGAGAGAGAGAGAGAGAGAGAGGTCACATATAGCACTTGTTAACATTGTACAGAGAGAGAGAGAGGGAGCAGAGGTCACAGACAGTACTCGTTCATGTAAAGCACCGGGTCATGTATAGAGCAGACACAGCACAGGGTTACACACAGCACAGGGTTACACACAGCAGACAAAGCTGCTGTGTCCTCATGTCTTGTGCCCCCATCCCAATCAGGGATCGAGCTGACAGCCACTGTCGGTTTAATGTCTCATCCAAAGGACGGCATCTCCGACAATACAGTGCTTTCAAACCCACAATTGCACTGGAGCCTCAGCCTTGACTGAGAATTCAAATTGCTATCAGGGACTTGGACCCACAACTTTCTGATTCGAAGGTGAAAGTATGACTTACTGAGCTAGGCTGGTGAAAAAAGCACCAGCCACCAGGGCTAAGAGGTCTGATTCTGTGGATCAACTTTCTGTTCTTCTCTGGCACATTTGATGAACTTGTTCACTCTGTCCATCTGACACGTCACTTATTATTATTATCACTTCATTATTTTTGTGTTCTGTGTTTTCTGCACTGTAGTAAGGGATCGGACAAAGCAGGGCCTGTCCCTCAGCATATGTGCTGCATGTGATGGCAAAGGTATTTCAGTAATTATGTACCAGCTGCAGTGGGTCTCTCTCCAGTGGGTCTCTATGAACTGTAATCGGATCTAATATGCTTTTCATAGCTCTCAAATTGCATTGGCAGTGAATACAAATACTGTTTAGACAGCTCTCTCTCCCTCGCTTTCCCAGGCTGAGCAGCAATCATTCCCGGTCACACAGCCAGCAGGAGGCTGGGTGAATGAGGCTATTGTGTGGAGAGTCATGTGTCTGGTGCAAAGTGGAAAGCATTGGGTTTCAATCATTGGCTCACGTGGGGCCATGATATCAGATTAGGAGCAGGGCTACAGCAAAAAATAATCTGACCACTGTCCTTTCCTGATCCGTCAGGCTGGCTCAGTACAGCCACCTGTGCAGTCAGGGCAGAGATGGACAGAATAGAGAGAGCTTTACTCTGTGTCTAACCTTTGCTATCACTGACCTGGGAATGTCAATGGACAGTGAAGAGGAAGCTTTACTCTGTATCTAACCTGTGCTGTCGCTGACCTAAGAGCGCTTGATAGTGTAGCTTTATTCTATGTCCAACCTTTGCAGTCATTGACCTGGGAATGTGGACGAACAGGTTTGAGGTAGCTTTACTCTAACCCGTGCTGTCGCTGACAGGGAACGTGGATGGGCAGTGTAGAGGGAACTTAACCCTTGTTGTCGCTGACCTGGGAGTGGTGGACAGACGGTGAAGAGCAAGCTTTACTCTGTATCTAATCTGGTACACAGAAACATTGGCACTGGCACCACACACACACTGACACACAGCTCTCTTTGCTGCTGTGCGGTTGACGCTCTCTGTGGGTTGAGTGATCTGATGGGTTGAGTCACTGACCTGTGTATAGACGCCGGCTTTCTGTCTGTCATGCTTGGAGTAGGGCCTGGAGTTGAGCTCCCAGGAACAAGGCTGGGCTGCTCCACCTTCCCTGCAGTAACGGGTCTGGGAATCCTGCTCTTCCCGCTCCGGGCTCTTGGCGACTCCAGATCCTGCTCCTTCCGTACCCTTCTATAGATGGACGCCTCGGAGCCCGTGTCCTCCTCGGAACCTGTGGCTGACAGGCTCTCGGACACCCGTCTCTCGTCACCGGAGGATGCGGAGGAGGAGGTGAGGGAGGGGAGGCGGAGACGCTGGCTCTGTCTCCTCTCCATGGCTAGTCGAGCCAGGGCGGGATGCCTAGTCCTCTTACACACACGGCGTTCTCGGAGCGAGAGAGACGGCGAGTGTTCCGATCCAGTCTCCTCCGGGATCCGGCTCTTCAACCGGGAAGCTGGGGGCGACTCCCTGTCTGGTTCCTCGGGTGGTTCCTGAGCCGGGTGGGGGGCAGCCTCCTCCCCGCGGTCTTCAAGCTCTCCATTGCCAATCTCGTGAGAGGGCCGGCGTTCGAGCCCCGAGGTGGAGGCGCTGGGCTGGGTGGTGGTGAGTGCAGCCGTCTCGGGCTCGGCTTCCTCGGTGGAGGTGAAGCTACTGTTTTCCTTGGGGAGGAGATCACCAGCCGGAGCCTGGGCCTCGGAATCGGCCTCGGGCTGAGGACAGGGGAGGAGCTGCTCCTGGTGGAAGAACTCGTAGCTGTCATGTTGCAGGAGCTGCCCGCTGGAGGACATGACGTTCAGGTGGGACTTCTCCGCAATGTGGATGAAGGTCCGTTCGATCTTGGTGAATGGTGAAGAGGCTGCGGCGGCGACAGTTGTGGCACACGGTGGGGGTTTGAGCTCTGACTTCAGCACCGAGGACAGTGTCCCAGGCTCAGACACGTCCAGCTGGCTGCCTAGTGGCTGTGGTCTCTCGCTCTGGGGGGTCAGGGCAGCCAAGGTGCCCAGGTCGGGGTCGGGGGCCAGATCATTGGCCAGCGGGGACTTCCTGATGTCGCCGGGCGAAAACAGCACCAGGGTCTTGGAGCCCTCCTCTAGCTCCACGTCCCCGTCAGCCGCCGGCTGTCCCTGGTCCTCCCGCTGGTCATCGGCGAGGAGAGTGGAAGGAGCGGCCTCCTGGCTCAGCTCGATGCTCCTCTGGCTCAGGTTGCTGCTGGAATCGCTCTGCCCATTCTCTTCCTCCTTGGCCTCGTTCTCGTTCTCTTCATCCCCCTCCTCCTCCTCCTCCTCCTGCTCCTCCTCGCTATCTTCTACTTTTGAAGCCAGAGGAAGCTCCGGTAAAGAGAAGGTGGCAGTTATAACCACGCTGGCAAAGTCCACCCTGGGGGCCCGAGATTGGGCTTCCGATCCCCTGGCCTCTATCTCCCTTCCCGCTGCACTACCAGCCCCTCGTCCCCGGCTGTAGTACGGCAGCTCCCCGACCACCACCGCTGGGATCAGTGGCAGCTCCTCCGGTTTGGATGGTGCCACCTGAAAGGAAACAACAATAAATGTAGTGTAGCGTTATGGAGCACTCACCTTGTAAGCCGGGTCCGATTCCCATGCAGGACAAAACCTTAGGCAAGTTTCCTTACTCCACATGCCTCTGTTTACCTAGCAGTAAGTAGGAACCTGGTTGTTAGTAGATTGGCAGGTCGCTTTCTGAGGGTAATAATCCCTTAAAAAAAAAAAATTTTTTTTGGTCATTCAATCCACAAATTTTTGTGGGATACTGCTGTGCACAATTGGCTGCCGTGTTTCGCCCATAAATATACAGTCAATTCAGTTTACAGTATATTCTGTGAAGAGCTTTGAAACTTCTCAACAATGTGATAAAGCGCTATATCAAGTTATATTTATACAGCACCTTTCACTTTGTAAAACTGGACGATCAATTTGCACACAGCACTGTCCTACAAACAGGCAGACTGGACTTCGGTTTAACGTCTCACCTGAAGGATGGTATCTCTAACAATGCAACTCTTCCGCCAGCATTGTATTGCAGTGTGTGACTAGACTGCGAGCTCAAACTACCTGATGGTGGGCTTGAACGTACAACCTTCTGACTCGGGAGGCGAGCATGCTACCGACTGAGCCTAGCTGTCAGGACTATTTGGTGATAACCCTTTATTGGTTTCATTTTAACTGCAAAAGAAACATCTGATGTTTTACATTAAATAACATTGTAACTCAACTACACGAACATTCTACTTCACATAATTTACAGAGTGAAGCTCCCTCTATGCTTCCCATCCAGCACTCCCAGGTCAGAGATAGCACCGGTTAGATATAAAGTTCCCTCTGCACCGTCCATTTGCCCAGGTCAGTGGCAGTACGAGTTAAGATATTATCCTATAAAAGATTAAAGATTACCTGAAAAATAATCTAATAAATGATAGCCAGTCCGCTTCCACAACTAATAGATCAATGGAAAGTGCACTAGCTCTGTTTCTCTCTCTGCAGGGACACACAATGCTTATCGAATTCCGGAAAGTATTAGGCGCAGGTTGGCAAGAGGCACAATTTAGGGACCCCAGAGTATCCGTTGGGGTACTGCTGGAGTCTGGGGGCTCACAAAGCAGGCCAATGCTCATTGAGCAAAGGAAGTGGCTGGAGTAGTTGAAGGAGGTTGCAGAGGTAGGCTGGGGCGAGACAATGGAGGGATTTAAAGGTTGGGTAGAGGCCTTGAACTCGATCCGCTGGGGGACGTGGAGTGAGTGGAGCCAAGCGAGGATAGTGGTTATAGGAACCTCATGCAGGAAAAGCCACGGGCTACAGTTCTGGATTGTCTGCAGCTTGTGTATGGAAGTGCTGGGTGTTTTGGTGAGCAGAGAGCTGGTGTAGTCCAGGCTGGACGTGATAAAGGTATGAATGAGGGTCTCGGCTGTCCAAGGGAAAGGTAGTAGCAGATGTGGGCAAAGTTTCAGAGGTGAGGCAACGTTGAGCGGGTCAGTGAGGTTTGAAAGACGGTTGGCAGTCGAACAAGACACTGAGGTTCTGCTCTGGCCCCAGGAGGTGGAGTGTGCATCCACACAGGTTGATGCTGTCAGCGCCTGAGGTTAGAAGGTGCTGACAGGAGCCAAACAGGAGAGCCTGCCTTGTCAACATTCAACTGAAGAAAGTTAGAATTCATCCAGGAATTGATGTCTGACAGGCAATCAATCAGAACAGCAGTGGTCCTGGAATTGAAGGTGGAAGCAGAAAGATAGAATGGGTGTTATCCACGTACATGTGGAAGTGCACAATGAGAACACATAGATAATGAAAAGGAGAGGACCAATGATGGGACCTTGAAGGATACTGCGCATGACTGTGAAGGGGCAGGAGGAGAAGCCATTTGAAGAGACAAAATGGAAATGGTGAAATAGCTAAGAGTGAATATTGGAGTAATAATAATAATCCCTACAATTGATACAGTGCCTTTCACAGCCAGAGGGTGAACCAAAGCACTTCCCAGGAGATACTGTAAAGTACAATGACTGTGTTTAGTGGATGGATGCAGCAGCCCAATTTGCACATGGTGATTTCCCACAAACTGCCATTAAGTGAGTGACCAATTTTATTTGGAGGATTGTTGACCAGGATACCAAGTGAAACTCCCTTCTCTAATGTCATGGGATCTTCAACATTCACCTGAACAGGCAGACGGGATATCAGTTTAACATCTCATCCGAAAGATGGTACCTCTGACAATTTAGCATACCCCCAGCCCTACATTGGAATATCAGCTTAGACTAAGTGAGTCCCAATGTGGGGTTTGACTCACAATCTTCTGATTCAGAGGTGAGAGTGCTAGCAACTGAGCCATTGTGGTGTAGAATATAAGAGAAATGTGGAATTTTAACCTCCTGGAAACTGAAGATTGAAGGAAAGAGACAGATACACGGAAATAATTTTGGAATCAAGTTGCCCTCTGTGACAGTCTCGATAGCCTAGTTACTGTTCCTTGAGGGAATTGAATGGGCAGCAGGATGGGGGATGATTGACTCCAGCATAAAACTCATAATAAACTTGAAGAGGAAGGTTGTGGGTTCTGCAAATAAAAGGGGTGAGGAGCTTTCTTCATCCCAACCTCTCACATGGCTGATTTCAACATTCTATCCCAAACATGTCACTTGAGCCAGCGCAGTCCCAAGGAGACTTTTCTTACCTTTCCCTCCCTCGGGATGAGTCTTCAATTGGACATTTGACACATAACAGGCGCAGGTTTGAACCCACACTAGGTGGATGACAGGTATCAGGAATTCCCTGCGATCTTCCTGATGAGACCATTGCCACCACAGCCCTGCCCACAACTCAGACACACATCCCTTCACATTGAACAACTGTTCCACCAATTAAGGAGGTGCAGAGTTTGATCAGCAGCTGCTTACCTCTCTGCGTACCAATCAAGTTGGATTACAAACCCTGGATACATGAACATTTGTTCACAAACCCGGACACTAGGCAACACCTTCCAGCAGCTGTCGTCCTAGGCCTCCTGGTTTCTTCATCTGCTACCTGACAGACATCTGTCTCAGCGTGATGGGAGGACCTTTACAGAACTGCTTAGAACCTGCCAGCCACCTTGATGGTCTCGAGATCGAAGTCCTATGTTGTGTACCAGGCTTGCTCAACACCAGCTGCTTAATCCAACTGGAGCCACACGAGAGAGCCCCAGTACTTCCACTGAAAAGTACTGCAGCATTCCAGCACACCTGTAACTTACACAGTGTCTGAACATAATTTTTCCTTAGGTTGAACGTCTCAAAGCGCCTCACATATATAATCGAAAGAACTGAGCAGGGAAATTCAACGAGAATTGCCAAAATCCCAGTCAAAGTTAAGAGGATTTTGAAGAGAGGGATGGAGCTAAGGAGCAAGGATTTTGGAAGAGTTAATAATTCTTGCATTCAATATCGCAAGTGAGGGTTGGGTAGTGGATATTGGGGAGCCTGGTAAGGGTGGGGTTGTGGGTACTGGGAGGCTGGTAAGGTGTGCTCAGCTCACTGACCAGTGTCCGAGAGCCCTCTGCTGATGGGTGCACATCCTTGACTGTCCAATACTTTGGAGTGTCCTCCTGCTCTGAAAGGCGCTATACAAATGTAATTTGTTGCTGAGATCAGTGAATCATATTTTCTGCTTGCAAGACATGAATTTCCGGCCGCCACGCACTCAGTGTCAAAGCGGAATTTAACATGTTATTGGACAGGTTCCGAGTGATCTCGCTCTCTCCATAAGCTGATCTCTCCCCAGAGATTCACTCCTCGTCTCTGCGAGCAAATCTCACCCCAGACGTCACTCACCCCGGCTCGTGAGCACATCTCTCAGCAGAGATCACTCACTTTTTTCTCCCATAAGCAGCTTTCAACCCAGAGATCACTCACTGTCACCATTAGCAGATCTCTCCTCAGAGATCTCTCATGTTCTCTCTCCCTCTTCTGAGTATGGATCTCTTTGAGGTTGGATTGGGAGGTGGTGCCCTGATCACACTCAAACCTTCCATTCGCTCACCCAAAGACTTCACCTCACAACCTGTCCAAAAACATGGAAACTGTAAAAGTGAATTTGTGCCTTTGAATCTCGGCCAGTGGCCCAGTGCTACTGGAATAGGACATGCACACGCAAACATATTCCCTCCCTCCCTCGCCAAGGGCTCAAGCTCTGGGATACGCCAGAACAAGGACTCACAGCTTTGTAGCACTTTTTAATTTTGATCCCAGATATAGAATTTAAAGGAACATATCGCGTGAGCAAAGAAGGGTAAATAGACAATTGGTGAAACGACGGGAGTAGAGCTGGGGGGGGGGGGGGAAGAGAGGAAAGAGAAGAGATATGGACCTTTTAATCCAATGGGCGAGAATGAGAAAACAGGGCAGGAAATAACTAAATAAATTAGTGAATAAATCACAAACAGTAGGAAAAGAAAACCAAAGCCAAGTTCAGAATGTCCCGTCTGAAAAGCTTTAATAGTATTTGGGGAATATACAAGCTTTCTGTCAGATTGTCTACATTTACATACAAAGGAAAAAAGGCACAAATTCAATTTTACAGCTTTTTTTAAATGGCGTCCGCTGTCTGGTAAACAAGCGTAGCGGTATTTACAGCACATGCACCTTGCGTTTGTACAGTGAATTATAATACAGCAGCTAAGGCAGAGATACAGGTCAGAGGTCAGTGGCATGCTCCGCGTCGGTCACTTAGTAACTGTACATGGACCTGTGCATGTGTGAACGGTGCCTTCACGGCATTGCATTGAGAATGTGGCTAACTGGACAGACATCGATCGCTCTGTGTATAAATCCCCCCCTCCCTCCCCCCCCAGGCAGCCATGGAAGCCCCTCCCCTACAATCCCTAGGCAATGGGCTCTCAGGCCCTTATTGCAGTGCGCAACATAATACCTATAACAGCTAACAACTACATCCTATTCCAATAATTGACAGGTCCAGAAACAGAGGGAGGGTGAGGGTTTGGTAATGGGGAGGGAGTAGATAGGTGGTGCATGGACTCC